AGATGTCATTCATTGAAAATATGAATAGGCAGATGTTTTCCAGTTCCTGATAAACTGGAAGGTATCAATTGTAACATTTGGTTTCTCTCTTTCTTTCTTCTCATTAGTTTATCTGCTTGTCTATGAACATCTGAAGGCCTTGAACATGAATTTCAGCCAATCTCCCAACATGCTTCAGAGTTGAGCTGAGTTCACACTTTCCCCTAAATTGCTGAAAATTACAAGGAATGTTTGTATTGTCAACTTTTTCTTATACTCACCTATCATGAATATGTGCTTTTAGAACTCAAATACAAATAAGTATTTTCTAGATTTAAAGTCCTATTATTCCAGCCAACACATGATAATGGAAGGATAATGGGATCTGACAGGGCTTTTTTTCTCATAGAACACCCAGAACGGAGTTCTGACACCTTTTTTGGATGGAACTTTATAGGGTAGGCAAGGCGGGTTGTATGACGTGTGTGAGATCCGCCACCATTTTTTTTTTTTTAAGAAAAGAAGCACTGGGATCTGAAGTCCTAAAATCTGGAGGGCAGTAAGCTGAGGCAGTTGCATTTACTTTTATTTGTATATGAATATATTGCACAACACATGTGAATACATGCTGTAATGAATTACTGTTTAGATGACATAAGTGAATAGCCCTCAGCAATTATCTTTTGATTTAACATAATTATGTTGGCTCCCAATAAACATTTTGTTTCTATTTATTTGTCTCCAGCTAGTCTTTAAAATCATCTAAACTGGGCCAATTTCTCATATGATGGCATTGCCAGAGAATTCCACAGTTTATGTATATTACAAAGAAGCACATCTTTTCATTGGCTTTTCATCTTGCTTCATTTAACTTCTGTTGATGACCGCTGAGTTCTGAGAGAGGTCCTTAATTCCAGAAATATTAAATATGGCATTTTGTACATCTGGAGCTCTTTAGCTCATCTGCTTTTACTCATCATTTCAGCCCCAGTGGCTTTGCTATTCCTTTTTCTAAAAGATAAAGAATCTCCATCTGGCACTGCTAGACGTTTTGTGTTTCTTTATGGAGACCATAAACCAACCTTGTTAGACTTCACATCTATGTAGCAAGAGCATTAAAGGTTCAGTGCACTCAGGTTTCCTTGGATTCCATCCAAATGAAGAATACAAGTTCAATTGTACCTTAAAGTTGTGGAGAGAGGAACATCTTATCTCAATGCTCGGGTTTCAGGCCTTTCTCCTTTCTAGAGTTCTGTTGTAATCATCACAGCTTAGCAATAAAGGGAATTATTACTACCTGTAATACAGGTAGACCTCGATTTAGTGACCATTCAAAATTACAGTGGGACTGAAAAAAGTGGCTTATGACCATTTTTCACACTTACAACCGTTGTAGCATCCCCATTATCATATGATCAAAATTCAGATGCTTGGCAACTGACTCGTATTTGTGGCTGTTGCAATGCCTTGGGGTCACGTGATCACCTTCTGTGATCTTCTGACAAGCAAAGTCAGTGGGGAAACCAGATTCACTTAACAACCTTGTTACTAACATAACAACGGCAGTGATTCATTTAACAGCTGTGGCAAAAAAGGTCGTAAAATGGGCAAGACTCATTTAACAACCGTCTCACTTGGCAAAACAATTTTTGGAGTCGATTGTGGTCGTAAGTCGGGGACTACCATAATCCATTACATGTAGCCCAATCCACTCCTTTCCCAGGGACAAAAATAGCAAATACAATATGGAAGAAGATTTTGTGTATGACTTGCTTGCAGAGTGGCAAAAAAATGTCCATTTACAAAATTATTGAGAGCTTACAATGCAGAGAAGTTGGTGCCTATGAGTTACTACGTTGCTCTAATAATGCTCCAGGAAATGAGAATGAAGTTCCTCATTTCTTCTTTACTCTTGATTGACCCTGATTGCTTTACTCTTGATTGACCTTGGAACACAGATGTGTGATTGTCCTTTCAAATTCCATTTAAACTTAACAATTCATTGCCTGGTACCTAAAAGTATTAGATTTGCAAACTAATCTGATTCACCTCCTAAAAGATTACCATGACTATATTTTTGGCACTCCACCACATTGCCCACTAAAGAAATTGGCTTTTACTTGTCTTCTACTTTGTATAAAACTGGAACAAATACAAAGAAGTCCAGATTATGAGGTCCAGAATTATCCCAAAGGTGCTTTTTCGAAAAGCAACTGGATTTTCTTTGTTTTATCTTTGAAGATGCTTTGCTTCCCAACCAAGAAGCTTCTTCAGTTCTGACAAAATGGTGGGGAATGGAAGGTTTTACTGTATATTACTTGCGGTCATCTGGTTGTTTGCACTCTCTCTGAGAGTCATTGAGGCCACTTAGAGAGTGCTAATGATCAGATGACTGCAAGGAATATAAATCCTTCCATTCCCCAGCATTAAGTCAGAACTGAAAAGTGAAATGTTTTCAAAGAAAAAACAAAGAAAGTCCAGTTGCCTTTTGAAAAAGCACCTTTGGGACAACCAGGACCTGGATGACTGAGATCCAAGTTACACAGACATTTAGAATTATAAACTCCATTGATTTTTCTGGGCAACAGGATTATTATTGATCTCTCTTTTTCTTTGTCTCACATACATAAGTACAAAGAATGAATATAGTAGAACCTTGACATACCAACGTATGAGAAAGTAAAATACATTTAGTTGTCTCCAAATAGAGGTATGGCTGCTTTGCTGCCTTAGCCGGCTGGAAAATTTATCCTGAATTTCTCCATTTAACACAAAGTCTTTAACAAAGAGCACTTGCTCTTTCAGAGTCTTTGTGGTCTCATCTAAGTTTGGCTGTAAATCTCCATCTAGAATATTTGGTTTACCAAGTCCTATGATTCAATGACTCCATATTTTTTTACATCACCATCAAAGAAAATCTGATGACCATTCTTTTAAATGCATGTTTGAGATGTCCAGTGAACTCAAAATTGAATCTTTTGATGAATCAATTTAAATCTTAAATCTGAGGAAATTAATTTGAGAACTTTTAAGACCTGCAATTGTCAATCTTCCATTGCTGGATGTTTCAGTTCTTTAGTCCATCAAATTGTAAGTGTTATTAATAACAATTTGACAAACATTCTTTAGTTTTTGATATAAATACAATGTGGGATTAATGTTGGATATCAGCTGTATCAGAGATGGAAGCATCTCAGATTTCTTTGAAATAGTACCTGATTCATATTGAGCCATCAAAATATGGATGACATGACTATATTGACACTGTTGTGCATTTGAGAGGCAAAATTCAGTTTGAAGTTGAGAAAAGTCCTCAAAATAACCAGGTATTAGCAAAATATTGACAGATTTGAATCAATACAAGGCAAGAATATTTAATAAAGAATAAAAAGCAAATGCTTTATAATGGCTTAGATTGTGAATTTAGGGCAGTATTATTTAATATGATAGGCATTAGATCTTCAAAATCTCAGTGGAGGTCTTACCTATCACCAGTCTAATTGGATGCCAGTGATCAAATGCAGAACTTTCTGCAATATTATGCAGTCTCTGCTTTCCCAGTGAGCCATGGAAATTCCCACTCTAATTCTGAACACAAAAGAAATGTAATAAGGTTACTCTCTAAGCTGGAAATTCTGTTTTCACTGTTGAGAGGCTAAAACTTTGCCAAGGAATTTAAGCTGACAAGATAAAATCAACCTTGTCTTCTCATAATGTAAGCAAAGGTCTGTCTGGATTTTCTCCACTTGAGTTTAATTAGTTTGACCATTACCAGCAATGTTATTTTCATGATTGGTAACGTGCTAAATTCATAGATGGATGCTTCTATTGAAACTCAGAACAAAGGGAGCCCAGTCTATTTATAGGCACTAGAGAACTCTGCATATTTTAATGTGAGGTTTGCTGACTACATATGTGGGTCTGTATTCTTATTAATGCAAAGGATGGCCCCATCTGTTGAAAAGAACAGATGTTTGCCATTAATCAGAACCTTAATTCCAGAACCCATCTTTTAAGAAAGTTTAGTTGTGCGCTAACTTCAACATTTGTTCTGACTCCCAATTTGTCTTCTTGGCAACAGTTTTTTTTTTTTTAATTTGTAAGTTTCTTCACAGATAAGTCATTAATCTTTGCAGAGACTACCTCTTCCCCTACCTTGTTTTTGTCACAATTCTGGTTTACCTTTAATCTCCCTCTGGACTTCCATGCATTAAAATAACCAGAAGTCAATGTGGATTGTAGAGGAATGTAAATGCTTGCTATCTGAAGGTTGGTAATGTATTTTCCTTTTAAAATTGGCTGCTGCTAGGTAGAAAGAAGGGCATAACATAAACAGTGTCCTTACTGGATCAGACCCTTCTACTCTTGCCACATCTAGTTCAATTGACTGTTCTCAGTGGCCAACTAATTGCACAAAGAAGCCCACCAGTCTCCCAACATATGGCTTTCAGAGTTGTTGTGGCTAATAGTCACAGTTGTTATGGCTAATAGTCATTGTTCTCTGTGACTTCCATGAATCAGTCCAACACTGAAGAGATAGGTCAGGGGTCTTCAAACCTGGTCCTTTTATGACTTGTGGACTTCAACTCCTAGAATTCCTCAGCCAGGCACGCTGGCTGAGGAATTCTGGGAGTTGAAGTCCACAAGTCATAAAAGAGCCAAGTTTGAAGACCCCTGAAATAGGTCATGAGGGCTCACCCAGATATGATCACGAGTGGACATGATCCATGGATGGATAGCAGATTACAAATATTGTGTGGGTCTGTGGACATTCCCAAAGGGGTGGGGCTTGTGACATGACACTACTTTCATTAGTTTGATGAATATGAGAAGCTTCTGTAGAAATTGTTATCCACAGAATTGGTAATATTTCACCTACAAGCTAATTCTCAACTTAAAAGTGTGAATACACCCAAAGATTTACAAGAGATTTTGACAGCCTTACAAGGTGTAATTACAAGTAGAACATGATTATAAACAAGGAGAGAGAGACATTAAAACAAGGGAAGAAACAACAGTGGTTCATGTCATGTGATTTTAATTAAGAATCAGATATGAATTGTAGCCAAATACAATTGTGAATAAAACCTCAATAAAAACATCCAAGAAAGGGAGAAACTATACTGAAGAGAAAGGCAATATAGTGTTAACTGTTCCAATGTGTAAAATCCATCAAGAGGTTCCTTGCAAAAATTTCATTAAGATAAACAGGATTGGAGATAAACACAGTAGGAGAATTAGGCCCAGCTTATCCTATTTCATTGCTTAAGAGCAGCAATCTAAAAATGTTGCTTCAATGACCTCAGGACATTAACCCCCACATCCACTGATATATAAATGGAAAGCTCTAGTCAAACCAAACTGCACTTATTTAATTCTTGAATTGGTTAGCCTGAACAAGAGATCCTGAGCTGGAAAAACACTTTATACTCTGACAACATTGGAAAAGCTCCCTTTTATCATCTAAAAATACATTGAAGAAATGTCTTCAGCTTGAATTTATGCCAATTCCTTTTTAAAGACTTGTTTCTTTTTAAAGAATCAAATAAGTACTCTTTTCTTAAATAAAAACCAGAGGGTTTTTTTTTATAACTATGGTGTCTTTAAATACACTGAAACAGGGAACGCAAACTAGATCCAATCAAGTGTCAGGCACTTATTTTCATTAATGAAAATCTTCCCTCTTTGGCTCAGCAGCAAAAGTTAAGCAATTCCAGAAATGCCAATTATTCACATCTGCTACCCCAATTCAATGGACTCTTATATGACACTAATAGTTATGTTGCCATGTAGGTGTGCACCAGGAAACCCAAAGCAACATCTCCACAGTAGGAAAGGTGGTGCTAGTTACTAAGAACAACCAATTAATCCAAGTATCTTAAGACAAAGTCAAGCATCTGAAGATAGACAGTCTTCTACAGTTTCCTACTCCGATCTTTAGCACAAATATCCCAGTGTCTTGTGTAGTGTGTGTGTATCTGTGATGGCACATAAAACACGCCTGAAAAAGAGCATTTTTCACAGTGTTCTCTACAATTAATTCCATTTTATTATTTTCTAAAGTTGTGCAATGCTGTATATCAGATTCCAAAATGGTGTTTCAGTTTGTGAGGGACAGCTGCATATCAGTGCTATATATTCTGGCCTCCACACACTGCAAAGCATGAATTTTGGAACTGAATTTGAAGACCACCCAGTTTTATTTTCCATTATATCTTTTAGGGCAAGATTCAGAACTGGCCTCTTAACTTTTGTCATAAACATTGTTAATGAGTATATATAAGCAGCAAAAGGAACAGGAAGTAATCTGAAATAAAACAGAACACATGATTTGTAGAGAAATGACTTTTCAGTTCACACCACTCACAGGTATGGACAATGGACAACTCTGAAAGTGGAACCACTTATCTGGCGGCTACTAAGGAAGAAGGCTACAATTAGCCAGCCTGACAACAAATGCCCAAACAGACTTTGTGAGAATTCCACATGGCATCAGAGGTACATGTGTATAGTGTATATCTATTATTGGGTCATCTCTCAGGAAATCCAATTCTCAAGGTCAAAAGCAGAAATTCAATAACCTTTGGTATTTGGTTGGAGAAATCACAATTTGTGCAGAAAGGGGAATTAAGGCTTGAAGGTGATGGGGAGAGAAGTTGCAATATTTTTTGAAGTTACAGAAATGCGATGTCAGTTGCATAGCTATTTCTGGATGTTGCAGATGCTGGACAAGGCTGGTCTGTGTGTGCAGCCAAAGAAAGTGGTATGCTGGCCCACTTCAAGGTGCAGGTGAGGGATGTCATCTTTAAAGTGTTCCTCCATGTGAAATAGCTTCTTTGTAATATTAAAACAACGGAAAATCTAATACAACAGGATGTTTGTAATACATTCAGGTTCTATTCCCACTATGGGAAGCAGTACCAGGAATCAGGAATCTCATGAAACATTTTTTTTTAATATAGTGCTTTGTTTTTAAAGAAAGTGTCACAATGCCTTGCAATAAACCTGTTGAAGAAATGTAACATCAGGGATGAGGATAAGGGAAATGAGCTACATTTCAAAATGTGCTTCATTGCTGCTACGCCAAAAGAGATGAAACAAACTAGTTATTCTTCTGAAGATCCTTTTACCAGATGGTTTTTCATCAGTAAAAGGCAGCTCAATCCATGTATTTGATTATTTCTCTAAGCTACTCTCCTTTCTTCTCCTTTTAAGTTTTATAATAAAACATATTAAATACATTTTATTAAATGTTTTATTTTTAATAAACGATCCTATTTTGTGTACCAATTAGGCCTCATTTCCCAGAAAGAAAACAAAAGTAACCATACACACCCTCCCAGCACACACCTCAATATTAGCTAAAGCTTTTTTTTCCTGCATCCAACTCAAGTGTCATAGACCAATGTAAAAACAAACATATAAATAAATGTCTGCAGATTTATATCCTGCATAATATATTTGAAAGAGATGTGCTGAATTTTGGGCTTTTGGACTCTGTGCTTCCATCTTTCCTCTATTAGGAAAAGACCATAAGGTATTCACAAAATGTTTTGGACCACTAATTCCAGAACCTTGAACCTACTAACCAAGGCTCTGACAGATGATATTAAAAACTATCTGTGCTTGATATAAACAATCATCTTCTTGTACAAATGTATTTAATACAGATGGTAGCCTATTAGCTGTTGGCATTCATGTGTAAAATAAATATGGGTGTTCTGTCAGATGGCTTCATTTTAATTAGATTGCACACTTTGTCCTTAGCATACATACAAATATTAGGCAATGTATCCCTGTTCATCACCAAATATGATGCATAAAATGGCAATTAATAAAAGATCAAAAAATGCACCCAACCTTCTAACAATGGATCACTTCAAAATACAAATACTTATCAGGTTTCTACAAAAAAGTATTAGTACAAAGGGCACCATTAAAAAAGAACTGGGGAAAAAAGTTTTAAAAACACACAGAAAAACCAGTAACAGAAATTCAAAGACAAAATGGAGAGAGATGCTCTTTTTCTTTCTTCAAAACCCAACTGAAGGATTGTTTTTGTCTACCAATTGTCCAGAAAATCAAATCCCGTCTTCAGGATAACATTACTTGCATTACCCTGCAGAAAGAAAGAAAGAAAACTTGTTTTAGAAAAGAAAGCAAGTAGTTAAAATTCAAAAAGGTGTAAAATCAAGAATAACCAAGGTAAGAGTTACAACAATATCATATAATGGTTTGGGTCTAGACCTGGCCTTCTGCATACGCTATATTAAGAAAGCTTTTGATTCAACAAAGGCTTTCCACCAGAGATGGGTTTTCATTGATGTCTCTTCCTTCTGGATATCTTATGGCTTCCCAAAAATTTCCTCTAGAAGGCTAGCAGGAATTGGGGAAGAAAAGCTATGAAAGAATTGCCTCTCTTCTACTACCAGCTAGAAAAGAATATCATATATGGTTGTGTTCAAATATCCTGCTGTTTTAAATATTCAGATTTTCACTGGATTTTCTCTCAGAAGGCTCAGCTTCCAGAAATACTACCCAAACAATATTTAACATTAACGGGAGATGTGTAGAAAGATTTGCATGATCAGAAAGGCTGGGTTATCCAGAATACCAACATTACTTGCACAAAAATGAACATTGCACATTATTTCCCCTTACACTTCAAGCAACTAGTCCCTTAAAGAACTATTTCCATAAAATGAGTGGGGACGGGATTGCTCTTCTCTTTGTCCTTCAACTACTAAATAGATTTTATATGTGAGGTATAATCTAGACCAGAAATAACCAAGTTCTAAGATACAGAAGTCTTTTTTGTCCAATTGTCCTCATATTGGATAATCAAATTCAATATGGAATAATTCTACATACTAATCCATCTTACAAGTTCAATTAGTTGTTACCTGGTCGTGCACATATAAACATAATGATAGCTGGGCTGTAGGTTTGATCTCCGAACTTGGCGATTTTCCTACAAACGTTTCATCTCCATTCAGGGGGAAATCTTCAGTGTGCTTTCTATTCAAAACACGCTGAAGACATCCCCTCCAATGGAGATGAAATATTTGCAACCAAACCTACAGTCCAACTACCAACCTGAGCTACTAATATTCAAACACTTCTCATAATAATAGCTCTGTGAGATCATGCCAAGGTCTCTCTTAGGCCAGCATTTTTGTTTCTCACGGATGTCAACAAAAAGAGATACAGACATACATTTCTAGATTTATTTTTAGTTATTCGAAGAATTTATATGGCTGCCCAACTCAAATAATGCAACTCTGGGAACCTTTAAAATACACGTCTCTCCCAAACTGCTGTTCCCTGTGAAGAGCATTTGGATGACTCCTGCTTCTAACCCAGCAATAAGACTAACTGCTTCTGCAAAACTTGTCCATGATTTCATCCAACCCTTTCAAAGCCACTAGCCATGACCATATCTTCAAGTCATGAAAGTTACTACTTATGTTGTGAAAAAGTGCTTCCTTTTTATTGTTCTAATATTCTTCTAATAAACTTCATTGGATAACCCATGATTCAATTGTTTGAAAGAAAAGAAAAACTCTGCCTACTTTCTCCTTGCTTTTATGTTTTACTTATTTTTATAATTTTTAAGGATTTTATATACCTCAATCATGTCCCCTGCCCTCCACCTTTTCTTCAAGATGAAGAGTCCCACCATTTTCTCATAGGTTCAGGTCCCCTTTCCACATTGGCTGTCCTCTTTTGCACATTTTCCAACTTCATTATATCCTTTTTCTAATGCAGCAATCAGAACTTTATATTCCAGATGTGAATGCATGTTAGATTGGCAAAGAAGGCATTACAGTGCCAGCAGTTTTACTTTCAATCCCTTTCACAATAATCCTGAGCATGAAATCTGTCTATTTCATAGCTATCATGCATCAAGTTGATGTCTTCATTGAGCTACTGATTCTGACCCAGACTCTCAATCCCAATATCCTTTTCCTGTTTAGTTACAGAAAGCTCGGACCTTGTGCATGCACCCTAAGTGCATTATTTTTCATGTAATTGGAATGAATAAATGCTCTTTTGGTTGCACACTCACTCAATTTTAAGGGGAGCTCTTCATAATCAGTTTTCAGTTCTACCCTCATGAATGGAAGGAAACCACCTTCCCTTTTCCACTACCTGTGGAAGGGCTGTTACAAATGTCACATGTACAATACAGGCAAAACCTACAGAAGGTAATCAACTTTATGGAACAGCATGTAGGACTTTGTGCAATCTATTACTAGCATATGCTAGTAAGATATGAAATAGTGATGTTCACATCTTAGATTAGATTGGGAGGAAAACAAAGGATTTCAGTTGTAAGGTTTTAGCACTCTACAGAAGTCATTTTCTTGGACTGGGGGGGGGGGAAGGGGGTGAAGTTTTATTTTTATTTGTTTACTTTTGCTTGGGTTCTTTCTACCTACCATACCGTAACAGGACAGATTAAGAATCAGCCCTTACCTGGTCAAATCCTTGTAAATCTGGAACAAAACTGCTTTGGGCATCTTCATTTTGAGTTGCAGCAGATGACAATTTCTCTGCAGGGTCAGGATGAGCATCAAAGGCACTAACTGCAGGTTGGTTGGACGGAGGCTTTTCCCATTCTACAGGTGTTGTGGGAACAACTGGGGCGATCGCTTTTTCAGGTTTCGGAGCACTAGGCTTTTCTGCTTTAGTTACTTCTTTTGGACCAGATTCTTGCCTATAATTAGGCTGGAGGGTTTTCTCTCCTTTTTCCATGGATTTGATTTGGCTTGGGGTTAGCGAGTGGAACTCCGACTGTTCCCCTTCGTACTTGGAGCGCTCAGCATTTATCTTCCAAAATGAGGACTCCTCCTCTTTTTTGACCGGTATAAGCCCATCTGAGTTTTGTGGTTTAACACCCTGGGAAGGTTTGGGGGCTGGGGGGCCAGGTGCAGTTTTGCTAGGCTGTTTCTGTTCGTGCTGAGGCACTGCAGCCCCCGGTTCTTGGATCAACAGAGAAGCAATACTGAATTCCATTTGACTCTGTTAGGGAATTAAAAGTAAACAATGAACATTAGTTCTTTTCCATGGACAAACAGTAGTTAAAATAAGATAAGGGAGTAGCTCATTTCAGCTATAAACATTATTTGGCACCTTGTACAGAGTACTGATGTTTATAAGGTAAGGCAGCTCACATTTGGCAATGTAAAAATGACAATTCTGTAGCAGTTCAGATGAGGCAAAACAATTCTTTATTCTAGCCTAGCTTGGAGGAAAGAAACATTTTTCCTCTTCTCTGCTGGCAAGAAGCAACATAGGCAAAGTTTTGTCAAAGAAGAGGTTGAACATTTAAATAATTTGCTTACTTTGAAAGGTGACCTAAATCAGAGGTCAGTAATGTACTGCCTTCCAGATGTTGCTGGATTGCGTAATCTTTTGTCATTGGTTATCTTGAGTAAGGCTATTGAGAAATAGAGTTGCCCACCCGGAATTCTTTTTTTTTTTTTAAAGTACAAAATACACATTCTTTAAGAATTATTACAGGACAACATGATGCAAAAAAAAAAATACGCAGAAAATGGTTCAAATGGAAGCAATCATTTAGAGGCTCTGGACAAGAGGGAAAAAACTGCAACAGTAAAATTTAAAAAGGCAACATGGCCTGGTCAAAAGCTACTGAAGAAATTCTTTGTCCTCCATCATGCTCTTCAGAAGAATAGTCTTGGTCCATAATATCTGCAAGTCATTTCCTCTCACGCAAACCACTGCTGTGGATTCAAGGCAATACAGCCATATGAATCTTCTGGCCAGACCAGGATCTTCTTCTTCTTCTTTTTTTTTTTTTTAAAAAAAGAAAAAACTAGTTGTTGAGAGCTCTACCATGGAATAACAGCCTATGTTTACACCGGACAAGGAGATGGGAGAAATGGTTGTAGAATTAAAACAAGACAAGCTACTTAGCCTGGATATACAATATTTAAATTTAAAATTCCCAACCCAACTCAAACTTTTGTTTCACTAAGAATTCCTTCCTTTCATATTTTAAAAGACGGCTTTTTAAAATTAAAATGTAAGCATATTCAGTCATGTAAAAAACCATCTTGCATACCTCATCTATTTCCCCAGTCCAAAGACAATACAAAGCATATTTCCTTTCCAATTCTGCCCAATTAAATATCCATTCAATACTAAAGATTAAATCCTAATACTTTACAGATATAAAAAAAGAAATACAAACCTAATGGAAAAAGATTCTAACAATACATCCCTAATACATGCATTAGTCAGAGAATGATCACCTAGAAGAGGTAACTATCAAACACCAGGAAAATTAGGAGATCCAGACAGTTCAAAAGGGTATAAAGATTTACTGCAACCTTAAGCTCCCTACAAGTATCCGAACTCCTAATGGCCAAGGGAAATTAGTGGGAGATAAGAATAGAAGGAATTCAAGGTGGGCTGGACTTAGATCTGTTGGGGCACAAAGGGACTCATGACTGATGATGCATTTGACCCGTTCTTCGGACTCAATCTGATCATCTCCTACAGTAACCTAAAGTTCTAGGACCGGCACAACTCCCTCCTTCTCAAATTTTCTTCTATGGCAATCCCATCCAACCATAATGCCAAATGCCAGTTGTAGCACAAGCAAGGAAGCACAAAACCATAGTGTATGGCAATGCAATTAAAAAACAAAGACTATGTCCAACCTCCTCCCAAAAGTCCAATCCAATTTCTGGAAATCTCATTCCTGCCCATGTATGTAACCCGGGTCCAATAATTCATAATGTGTCCTATCTATTGGAGCTTTCACTCCATTCACAAATGCTAAGTGCAGCTTTGTCCATTAAGACATTTTCTAGAAATCCTAGACCTGCTTTCATTATCCCTTGGACTCTTCTGATGGGGGGGACATCATTTCCTACAATTCTCAGCAATTCTCACAATAGCTGGAGCATCCTGAAGGGAAGGGTATTCTAAGCCGAAAACTCTTTTCCTACCCTTGAATCTTTTAATCATCCCATCAATGACATTTGTTTATATCCTGGCTTGATCATCAGGGAAGGAATATATGTGAAGGTCTTTCTTCTCCCACTTCTACCAGGAAATTTAATTAAATTCACTTCAAGGCTGCTTATGGCTGAACATTTCTCATCAGCTGTATCATAGACTTCAACAACCTAGGCATTCTTCATATTTCTCACTTTCCCAATACTGACTTATCGAGATGAAGCCCAAGTTGGGAAAGATGTTCCATGGATCAAAAGAAAGATTGAGGAAGTTTCACTCTCCCTTCTTCAGAAGTTCCCTTGCAGGCTCCATATCCAACCACTGCCATCCTTCCCAGCATGTATGGGTTGCATTATAAGGCTGACTCCCATCATGCTGAATCAAGCTGGATCTGAACTGACACATATTCAACTCTGAACTAAAACCAGAGAATACCACAAGAATCTAAAGAGCTATTTTTATATGTTATGAGCTTGTGGGGAATGTAGAGTATTTCATGAAGCAGATAGCATACAGAGCCAAAACAAGCTGTTTGGCTTGGCAACTGCAAAACAGAAGATAAAATAATGGGGGTGGGGGAGTAAGTAAAACAAAACCTGAAGGACAGGAAGCTTATAAAAATAGGCCTAACCTTAAGCAGAACCTAGACTTCCACAAAGCAAAATTCTATTTAAGAGACATTAAATAAAAATCTACAGCAGGCTGCATTGATACTCTTGGAGCACATATCGCTAGAGAAAACTGTTCTATGGCTGTATTTACTCAGTGCCTTAAATTTGTCTAAAATGGGATTAAATAGTCTTGATTCAGTGGCAAGCAATTATTGTTTATGTGCTGTCTTGAATAAACCATCTTATTAAACCATAATATTTTTTTCAGCTTAGCACATTATGTGAACATAGCACTTGTGTTTAACTGAACTAAGTTCAGAATTAAGAAACTTAAATGAACCTAGCTCACTTCCTCCAGCAATTAAGAATTTCTTTCTGTACCAAAGATAAGACCCTTGAGGAATTTAATAAACTATGTTCCTGATGATGGTGTAACTCTTCAAACTATTTTTATTTAGATCCATACACCGAACTGGTCCAAGAGTTCTCCAAAGGCAAAAGCAATGGATAGAAAAGAAGTCAAGGCTGAAATCCGTAACTAGGATTTCCATACATATATGAATGTAAATAGTACATCAAATCGCACAACCATCATGCTGAAACTAGTATAAACAATCCTCTTATTTCAGCTCCTCTTTAGAAAGAAATAAAGTGTAACTTGTCTTCATAATGCTCCTGACCACAGAAGTGACAGTTATTGGCAAATTGCCAAATCATAAACTGGAAGGTCATTTATATGGCTGTTACAAGACTGGGTAAGTCATGACCCAGAGATCAGAGGGAGACCAGGCAAAAAGATTTGGGCATACTGAACTCTTGCTGCCAACAGAAGGGAGAATGCACCGGTCTTATCCTCCTTTGCTAGGACAAGAGCCACCCACCACTTACTTGAGCCTCTAAAGTTAAGATATGGAACTTATGGCTCTCCACAGATGCTGAAAACCCTCTTCACAAATTTCTCAAAAAAAGCCACTGAGTAACAGCACTGAGTAACAAAGTCTGAAATTAATTCAGTTGAATGCTGTGATTGCAAGGATATTTCTATCTGTGTTCAGCTAAAGATGAATCAAAACTACTTTCAGGTGTTGCGTCTCAAAATGCAAAATCTTTAAGTGGGGGAGGCATACACAGAAGATACAGGGGGGTTACAGACAGACACTGCTGCATTTTTGGACAGACCTGTTCTGAAGATGTTGATTTAGTAATACGGTACAGTATTACAATAATACAATACAATACAAATAAAGCTAAAAAGTAATTATGATTCTTTATCTCCCAACCCCCATCTTTCAGAACTTTATATACTGTATCTGATTCTGAAGTACTCAACTAAGGCTAAACGTTGCAACAGACACGAAGGGCAAAGAGTGATGTGTGGCCTCTTCCTTACCTCGTTTCTATTCTTTACCTAAATTATTACTTAGAATATTCTAGGAAACGAATCTTCAGCAGAAAGCATGTGACTGCTTGTAATATACAATTTAGTTCTAGAATTTGAAATGTGCTGTGCCCTTTTCCTCAAGCAAAATGAATGCAGGTCAAGAAGAAGAAAGAAAATGGAACAGCTCTAGTCACAGAGCTCATCCATATACAATACTATTTATCAAAGATAAGAGGGGGGAGAATAAAACAGATGAAAGTAATATCTGGGGCTCCATCGGTCAATTCTAAGAGAGCCCTGTGATACATGGAACAGTCTTGCAAACACAATTTCACCTAGAAAAATAAGGAAGGCAGTGTAAAATGTTCCACTGCAGCTTTGGATTACTTCTTAAGCATGGTTTGATATATTTTTTTCAGACTTTTGCAGAGGTCAGAACAGAAATTCTAATACCAGCTTATTAGATGCAAATGTTTGGTGACCATAAATAAGTAAATGCCTGCAAAGCCAAAACTGAGAGCCAATAGTCAGAGTGCAGGTCTTTAAAAACACAGAAAACTATTCCAAATCAGATCATTGCCCTGCCTGGCTAAGTGTGCTGCTGAATCATAACTCCCAGCAGTCTCAGCCAGCATGACTAATGGTGAAAGATGTGGGGTATTATTCAGCAACATCTGGAAAGTCATTAGCTTCCCACGTCTGTAACAAGTAGACCAGCTTAACCAAAAAATAGATTAGTAACTTCGGTCCAGTTACATTGTGTCTCTACAAATATACTTTACATGGTGAGCATGAAACAAGGGGTACTTGTACTTCTATTTGTTCCTCAGATGATAAGCGGGTAAAATGTATTATTTTTATCATTATTATTGTTTGAAATTTATCTTGAGAAATCACAGTTTCTCGGCTGTTGAAACCTATATTCTGCAAGATCATCCATAATTAGTCTGGGCCCCAAAAAGCAGAAGTTTATTACTGCATTCTGAAAATAAACAAACCTGACAATTATTGCAAATATAACAATTTCACAAAGTTACCTTGGTTTCCCAAGAAAAAGGAGCAGAGTGCTCATCTTGCCAGGTGATATCCTGAAATAAAAGCAAAAACACACCAATAAGTATGTAATTTTCTCAGGGCAAAAGAAACAGAATCATCCAGGATACCTTAAAACTGAAGTCAAGTAAAGGTTTATTGAGACCAACCAAAATGCCATGATAAGATGATGCACACTCTGGAATTCTTCACCAAGTAAGACGGAATAAATACAAGGAGATGAAGGAAGAAACAAATGTTCCCCAAAAGTAAGTCAGTGGGAGGACTAAACTCCATTTTGTCAATATTATTGAATATTTGTCTTAGAAAATAAATCCATAGCAAAAAAAAAAAAAAAAATGGGATTGATGACAAAGTATCCACACATTTTTTGAACCTCAGAACTGTGGGACTTTTTGCTTACATGACAACATCTAAAGTCTATCATTCCCCATTTACAAATTCAAAAGATCCATTCAAAATCTAACTTTAACTCTCCCATCTCACTTGTTCACTAATTATTTAACCTTTTCAAAGCAGAGTCTACCTGCATTTTAGCTCTCAATTTCCCCATTCTTAGCTAACCAATTAATACTGTACTAGATCTTTAATTATTCAGTCTAACAAATTCATTTTATTATTGTTTCCTCTTTTGGTCCTGTTTCTGTTGGAATCCTCTTTCATCAGTGATTTTCATTTTGTAGCCATCTGGTTGGCTTAATCTCTAAGGCCTTCTTCAAGTGTTATTTATATCCTGGGTAATATAAATTATCCCTATTTTATTTAGTTTAAATAAAAATATCCTAATTTAAAAAATCCTAATTTGTATCAAATACTCATCTTTATCAACACTTGTGTAAGAGGCTTAAATGCACTGCTTTTGTAAAATAATCTGAGTAATCACTTGATAAACCACTGTCTCCTCCTTAATTTATTTGCTTCAACTTGTGAGCTTCCTGAATAATTTTTTTCTCTAGTATATTCATTAAAAAACTTAATTACATTTGCAGATAGTTTATTCAACTTTGCAAGCCTGGAATTTTGAACTTTCTCCTTTTCAGACAAATGTAATTCAAAGAAGAGATCATTAAGTCTCATTACTAGATAATCCATCAAGTTACTGTCCCCAGCTTTTTTTTGCTAATACCACTGATGCAGAGAATGCTTCATCTGCCAAGATCCTCAACATCTGCCCGAAATGTTTAATATCCACGAATCCTTCTCATTCATTTTATATAAGAGGTATTTTTAGTAACTAAGCTGCAAGCTTGATTAGCTGAAAAATGTCTAATATTTGCCTTATTATTTTTTTCAGACATACCTGATATATCTTCTTTTATCAAAATAAAAGTTCTCTTATTCTAGTTTCAGTTCCTGACTGAGTTTTTAAACAAAAGTTTGGTTGTGTTGGAATCCTTTTCTCAAAAACAGTCTGATTCAAAAACTGTGCTTTATATTTTGGTTTCATCCTCTTCTCCAATGGAGAAACACTGTCAATGCCTTGATTTGGCCTTCCTTCCTTCCTTCCTTCCTTCCTTCCTTCCTTCCTTCCTTCCTTCCTTCCTTCCTTCTTCTTTCTTTCTCCTGAATGTTTTGCATTTAATCGTTTTGGAGAGGAATTAATTTAATTAAATAAACTAATAGCTAAAACTGTTGAGTTTGAAAAAGAGCAACGATTTCAGGGGACAATCTTGATTGAATATGGCTATGCCCATTTTCTCTAATTATTCTAGAAATCTCTATAAATCTCAGATAGCAACAGCAATAAACAGTAACGTTCTTTCCCCAGAAAACTTTACTTTTTTTTGCTCCCTGTACAGATCTGATCTATATTCTACCTGGTATCTGTGTACTATGTATGCTGATTTGTATTTATTTGTGATACCCGTATTAAAGGTCCCTCATTACAGTTTCTAAAGTTGAAAAATTAAAAACCGAGTTTCAGTTCATTGCACTGAGCTAAGCTCAAACACAGTTGTCACACAATGACAAGACTTTTAAAAAAAAATCTTTCCAGAAGAGATCTGTCAAAATATATTCTTTACTGGCTTGGCGAATGTAATCATAAAGCCCTATTTCTCAAGCCCTTATCTTACACTATTCTTGGATGTAACAAAAATGAATTGCTCCGGCATTGGCCAAGCCACTGAGGAATGTCAAAGTCCCCAATCTGTTATGCTTGGCACATGCATGATAACCTTAGGAAAGATCCTTTGATTCTGATGTGTCTGGCTGTCATGCAGCAGTGGTCTTACTGCTTTTATGTACTGGAAAATGGCTGAGAACTAACAAGGCAGGGAGCTAAACTAAGAAGAGGGAAACAGTTAATGTCTTTGAGTCATATTAAGACAACTTAGAACAAACCCCTCAGGAAAACAACATGACACAAAAGGATAGGGAGTGTTCCCCTAAAGCAGGAATTAGGTTTTCGTTTGGGCAGGAACAGGAACATTTCTTCCGGCTTCTGCACATCCATGACAAAAAAGGCCATCCCTTAAGGCAGTGTTTCCCAAACTTGACAATTTTAAGGCATGAGGACTTCAACTCCCAGAATTCCACAGCCAGCAACGCTGGCTGTGGAATTCTGGGAGTTGAAGTCCACATGCCTTAAAATTGTCAAGTTTGGGAAACACTGCCTTAAGCCAAAGGACAGTCACATGCTGATTTCAGCAGCAGCAGTAGTAAAGCATCAAGCACAAAAAAGTCTGCATCTAACTACAATCACCCAGGCAGCGGGTTACAATAAGGGCATTCGAACAGAAAGACAGGAGAGTAGACACTAGTATCTTTATTGATAGCAAATGACATATACCAAGTGCAGACCATCCACCACAGGATAATAATAATTTCTCTGTCAGCCAAAGCACAAAAGAGTCTTCTGTGATCACTAAGAAAGCCTTTCAGCTGCAGCACTTAAGTTTTCTATGTGGCAGAGAAAGAAAAGAGATAGACTCACAGAGCCTTTTCCCACCTCAAAACTATGTTCCTGCAGCTTCCCCTTCATGCCTTGAAAGGCAATCTTTAAAGCACTGAGTTTGCTGGACTGACGTAGCCTCCCTACATAAATCTGTCAGCTCCACTAGATAGACCAGACCGGGAAATCAACTCCATTGGAAACGTAAAACAACTTCTATTGAAGTTGGCTGTTAATAACAGAATTTTTACATGTCAGATTGTGCTCTACCTTCTCCTCCTCCTTATACTCCAGCAAATTAAGAAGGTGTCTGTCTGAGCTGCTTCCAAATGTTATCTTTTGCATAGATAACAGGCCCTATGTATTTTTTTTAAGGTTGTTTTCTTTATTTTCTACAAAATCCAAACTCTAACTGAATAAGATTCTCCAAGGCATGAAAAATCTAAAGGAGCACAACAGTTGTCCTCTGCAAATGTCTTTCCCCCAGGAAACAATAGAAATGCCAATGGAGTCTAGCACCTCTCTGTTTTCTCAGATTAATCGAATTGTTTGACAAAATAATTGTCTATGTAACTTTCTACAAAATCATCACCTGTGCTCCTATAGTTTCCCAAACTGCACATACAGAGACTTCAATTGTGACATTAGGCAGGCAAATTTAGTTATCATTCCCTGACTGCACTTTCACTGATCCACTTCAATTAAAACTCCTACTTCCAAACCTAAATGAGAAGTTTTGAAACTATTATAGATCTTAACCACAGGAAACATCTCAGCCCTGGTTACTGGACCTTTTAGAAGCTAAAGGACCTTGCATAAGTTAAAGCTATCACATAATCAAGTTTCCTCTAGGCTCAATGTTTCCCAAAAATTTCATTTCAACTCTACTTTTTTATAATTTCTTTTACTAAGTTCAACTAAACACAAATTTAAAAACATCAAAGAATTTATTTACTCAGGAGAAGAGAAGACCCTTCTTTGCTTTAGTGCCGGCTCTCTGGAATTTCCTGGAATATCTTACCACCCAGGAAAGAGTTTTGCCCCCACCCTCCTATCCTTCCAGAAGGGTGGGAAGCCCTGGCTCTGCCAGCTGGCCTGGGAACCCAATAGGGAAGTACATCACTACAGGTGGCTACTGGACTAATTAGCTGACCCCCACCTCCCCCTGCTCTTCCTGTGCCCCCTCTGCCCATCTTTTTTAATTTCATATTATTTACAGGTAGTTCTCATTTAGTGATTATATGCAGTTATGATGGTGATGAAGAAGTAATTTTATGATCAATGCTTGTATTTACAAGCTTTGCAGGTCTGTGGAGCAAAGCAAAGCTGAAGTAAGATCATAAGCATAGTTGTAACTGTAGTAATCAGTGCTCAGTCATTGCAGGGTGCAAATATGGCTGACTGCCTTCACAGCGTTTATTCTTTTATACAGTTTTCCAAGCAGCAAAAAGTTTAACATGGCAATAGCGTAGCAATAGCATTTCATTGGTTAAACTCCTTACCAATTCTTAAGAAGATATCAGCCAGGAGGCCAAGCCAGGGAGCAGTTTCTACCACATCCTGTTGATGTAACCTGGCTGATATCATGTGAACCAGGTGATATCATTTTATCAGCCTGGGGTAGTTTCCCACATGATGTGAATGGATGAGATCATGTAGAGAGAAGAGGCACGCAGGCGTTGGAAGGGCAGTTTGCTGCTCACGACCTCTACCTGGCCCCCATCTCTACAGTAACCACTTCAATTGCAGTCCTAACTATGGTTGCTAAATGAGGACTTCAGAAGATTAATTTTTACATAAACAGAGAAACCAAGATTAAACAATGGTTGCCTTTTAGAATTATGAATACTGAACACCAGTATTGTGCAATATGCAGAAAATATATACTCCCATCCTGATATTATCCAAAAGTCTAGTACTGATATATCCTATGGGCCCTAAGATGCTCCTCTAGATACCACAGGGTTATCCTAAATGATCAAAATAAACATACGGCTCTTATTACATCTCAACAGCTAGGCCCATGTATTTTAGGTGAGCATATTGAGATCATTTATTAAGAGTTGTTACTTTTTCCAAAGTCTTTGGCACAAGTATCAAATGTAAAAAAAACGGGAATAATTTTAAAAACTTCCATTTCTGAACACTGCAATTTATTTTCTACACCCTTGATTTTCCTAGTTCAGTAGGGACAGTGGAAAATCTGACTTATATTTTTAGAAGGTGATTTAAAAATACCCAGACCTGAAATATTCATATATTTTTGTAGACAGAAGCACAAAAAAGTTAGTCAGTTTCCTGTAGTCAAACATAAACAATTCCTCAATACTAATTTTAGCTGTAACTTCCTACCGCCTGCTGTTAACAAATTAGTGTTTGCAGGCCCTTTTTATGACGTTTATTCCTGTGAATGAATTTGCAGGCTAAGTTAAATACTGCCTTTGGTTCTTTACAATTATTTTTAATTGTACAATCCTTTTTGATTTTCTACTCCTGAAAAATTATACGTAGACCTTGACCAGTGTAACAAAAATATCCATAGGGCTCTTAGCTATTACTATACTCTTTTAAATGGGCATTTAGGGAAGAGCAGAATTCACTAGAAGAACCTTCCCAAATCTAGTGTATTCCAGATGTTTATGGTCTAGAATTCTCAGAACTCCTAGCCAGTATTACCAAATTGGAAGAGGAGGTTTTGAAATGCAAAGTAGCCTCCTCCAGCAAGTTATCTTGAATTAAGATCTGAAGTACCTAATGTCTCGAAACATAGTTATTCTTGACAAACCCTCTGGCCTATTATTGCAAAAACATTGAGGATTTCTGAGGCATTTTGATGCTTACCAAACTCTGCAATGTTTAAATTCCACAGCTATTTGGATCAGTGGCCAGATTTAGAATTTTCAGAGTATGTCTTGGCTGGTCTTCTGTTTAGAAAGTAGTTGGAAGGCTAGATAGAACTAGTTGCAAAACACTCATTTACTAGAACTGGTAAAACTGCCCTGTTTCATTACTTCAATCCTTTATGTTCAGAATACTCCTTAGTAGCGTATACTTCTGTCTTTTTTAGAAGGTGGGCAAACACTTGATTGCAGCTAGCAACCACTTTTATGTTCTAACATTATTTATGGAGCCTATCTGGAACCTAGAAGCATTCTTAAGAATAGTACTTGAGAGTCATGTCTCTTTTAAAAGTTAGATGGAGAAATGAGCCTGCTGAATGTCAAAAATAGGAGTCAAAAGGCACACACTAGTGCACAGAGGCATTATATTGTCTACCTCTTTTTTCAAACCTACAGATTTATATAAATGCACACAAAAAGAAACACAGAAAAGCTGTATCAAATGAAAGATAATCAAAACATTAAGCCTGTCAGCAGAAAATAACACAATGGTATTTTTTTTTACTTAGCAGCCACCACTTATACTTGCTCTTAGTTTATATTTGTTATCTAAACATGATTATATCAATATGTCCCTATATGACTATTATATCTATCCTACCTTTTTTGTAGAATTCAAGGCAATTTCCAAGAGATTCTCCTTTAATTTTATTTTGGCAATAACAATCCTTTAAGATAAAGTTAGCTAAGAAAGAATGGCTTTCACCCAGCCATTCTTACCAAATCTTTAATTTCCACACTATAGGAGTGGAGGGCATGAACCATATGCCACCTTTCCTTAATCAGGCTGAGAAAAACTACATTATACATGGCTTTCCAATACATTATTCAGGGTTAAACAACATGCAAATCACAACACAGCAAATCTGATTCATATATTGTAATGATATCAATAAGGCATGCAAATATGCACCCACATTAAAGATTTTAAAAAGCTACTTTGACAGCCATAGCAATAGCACCAAGCAGGGATTTCTGTTGTATCTATGCCTGGAATGTAATCTAGCCAGATGCAGAGAGATAGAACTCAACTGCCTAAACTGGAATTAGTGTGAATGGAATTTATTAGACAGTCCCACCTTTTGCTAGCCAGGAGACTGGCAATCAACATTTTGTTTTTCTTCTGTTCCACTAAAATAAGAAGCAAGCAAACTCTAAGGATGTTGAATCTTTGCTCCAGTTTATCATCCCTAAATTAAGCTTTTATTCAGACATACAAACTAGCCTTTTTTCTTTTTTTCTCCAGAAGGAGTGGCAGTTCTACACAGAAACCTAGTTTGGAAAGACAGTGCAGCCAATATAAATTACGCTGAGCATCCTGACAGTTGCCAATGTTTTTGTTATGATTTCACACAATCCTGTTTTCACAGTAAAATAAGGTATTTTACACTAGCAATTGACAACTATCACTGGGATGCACAATAAAATGAAAGGCTGTGTGATAAATAGTAAGATTCATCACTAAAACCAAAATGAATAGGAATGGGAGTAAACAGTTACAAACGGAAGAGGCTGTTTCTTTTGTATTTAATAATTCTTGGAAATCTAAAGGAACTTTAATTCTTGCAGAGGCAGAAAGGAAACAATTGTATTCTACAAACTCCGGAACGTTTCAATAGCATAACACTTGTGGTGTGCTCTTCCATCTGAATAAATCCCACTGAACATAAGAGTGACTGATGTCAACATATGCATTGAGTTTGGAAGAAAACCCTCTCCACCAATGACCTGAGACTGTGCCCCTATGGACAAGGGGCTGCTGAAACTATATAGCTCATATCCTGCTGCACTGCCCTCTTTATAAGGACTCAAGGACCCATCTTATAACTCCTTACCTGGTAACCCCCCCCCCCAGAAAATTCTGACCATTTTTACTTACAATTGTTACCAGACCATTATGATTCAGTCTCTTTGAATGTAGCTGACTTTTGCTACACTGCCTGTAAAATTAGGCAATCTTTGATTATTCACAGATGAACCTACCACCTATTGTAAAAATTTACCTTGTTTATTTTTAATGTGTTTTTGTTTGCAATTCTGATTAGTGACCATGATTAAAAAAAAATATAGCCATCTGCACTTGTTTGGATCTGGTCAGAGGAAGACTGGAAGTCTCCAATCCAGCAGGAATCATGCATATTGTCTACTATTAGAAGACCTCCGAGGTCCCTTCCAGCTCTATTCTGATTAACTGATATACCGACTTCGGCCCAATTAACTTTACTATAGAAGCCAGGTAATGCCTAAAGGTAAAAGGAAAACGACCCTCTACACAGGCCTCCCTGCCAGACGCGTTTAGTCCTTTTTAAAATCTGGAGTCCTCAAAGTCCTTTCTCCGTGCCTTATCTGTTTTTCTTTGATGCCACCTCTCCCATCTCAGGTGCCTCACGACAGCTTCAAAACGCAAGTAAATATCCTGCTCACTCTCTGTGCACGTGCAGAGAGCCACTGACCGGCTCACGAGAGCTTACCTCTTCCCCGAAGTGCACTACCTTCTGGCCGGTATTGAGGCGCAGATTCGGATAGCAGACCGGGGGCGGGCTGTCTCGGGCTACCCCTCGGTGAGCCGCGTACCGGGCCTGGACTTGGGGCTGCACTAGGCTTTTGTCAATAATCTCGTCTTGCTGGCGGGGCGGCAGCCGCTCCCAGTCTGGCCCGTAGCGTTCGCGGATGCGCTCCTTCTCCGCCATGATTTTGCGAGCCATGGGGTTCAGCGAAGAGAAGTAGCTGAAGCGCTTCCGCTCCCGCTCGTCCAGCGGCCGGTTCCCATTCAGGACCGCCGTACGAGAGGCTGCTATCGCCGCCGCCATGGACGCCATCGCCGACCTGCGCCTGCTTCGCGCGCCCCGGCGCTCGGGGACTCGGCACGGCGAAAGGCGCAGAGCCGACTGTGTCCTCCGCCGCGCCCTCCGCTCGGCCGTTTGGCTCCGCTCTTCGCCTCCGCCAACCTTTTGGCTCCTCCTCCTGCTGCGTTTAGCCCCGCCTCCGCGGCTTCCTCTTGCGCCTCGCTCCTCCTCTCGGCCCGCCGGCGCAGCGCTTGTTCCAGGTCGGAGCGGACGGTGGAGTTCGAGGCGTTGCTGTCGAGGGGCCCCCTTGCCTTTTCCCTTCTTTGTTGCTGCTAGATTTGCATTCATGGTTTCAGCAGGACGGGGCAACCTTTCCAGGTGTAATTCATCAACCTAGTTGTCGTCGCGGCAGCATACTCATTTGAGGAACCATTTAATCTGAATGAGAAGCGTTCTAAACGCGCTTACTCAAATCTGAATCACAGTGAACTCCCAGCAAGTACTTTAATTATGTTTCCAGATGGACTGGTTCACCAACGGGCTGTTGCCTTAAGACAGTGTTTCCCAAACTTGACAATTTTAAGGCATGTGGACTTCAACTCCCAGAATTCCACAGCCAGCATGGCTGGCTGTGGAATTCTGGGAGTTGAAGTCCTCATGCCTTAAAATTGTCAAGTTTGGGAAACACTGCCTTAAAAGTAAGAGGGAAAAAATCTATTCTCTCGGACTAGGAAACTTGAGGAAATGTTGCTTAGCGATGTAGTGGAGCAAGGAGTATCTTGGATTTGACATCTGAGCTCAGAACCGATAAGTCCCTTCTATTAAAGCAGGGGTGTTCAAACTTGGCCCTTTTATGACTCGTGGACTTCAACTCCCAGAATTCCTGAGCCAGCCGTCCTGGCTCAGGAATTCTGGGAGTTGAAGTCCACGAGTCATAAAAGGGCCAAGTTTGAAGGCCCCTGTATTAAAGTGTCGTCTGAGAGGACCGAGGAAGAGAGCTTTTCTTGCCTTGGCATCTGTCCTGTGGAACATCATTGCCCCAGATTTCATATTTGCCTGGGCATCCAGCAATGGTGGTGAACTCTTACAATAGCTATAATGAGCTGATAATGAATTCTGCTGCTGGGGTGATTTTCCGTTTGATTTAAAAAAAAACTTGATTATGGACAGTTTTTATATGTTTGTATATTGGTTTTTAACTTTTTAAAGTTGGATTTTTTTTATTCCCCCCCCCCCCAAGAGCTGCTTAGATGAAATGGATGGCCATGGAAATCAAATTAATAACAGTTCTGTAAATTACAATGAGACTTTCCCCTGATCTTTCTCCAAATGCAAAATGAAAGTCTTGTTATCAAAAATCAGCAGCACAATCTTGAGAAGCAATCAGGGATGCAATCATCAGGGATTTATAGCAATATTCTATTATAGACTCCAGTTCTGATTAACTGTTATCACCTTACAAGAAAAATATATCCTTTCATTGCTTTGAATTATGGGTCTCTTCTTTTCCAATTTCTGTTCTGTGAGGGGAGTAAGAAAAAAACCCCTCAAACTATTTCTATAGGTAATTTCCCCTGGATCCACCTGTTTTCCCCTCCCCCTCACAGAGCAGAGATTGGAGAGGAAAGGATTACAGGAGAATAAGCATGCACACAATGGGAAATACACTTGGCTGTTTGCATAGCACTGGTGGCTGCCAGTGCCAGTGCATTGCTTTTGATGTGTATTCCCCACAGTGTGCCTGTTTCTCTTGTAATTCCTTTCTCCCCAATGAATGTAAATGGAAACATTAATTTCCTTCTTGTTAATTAGCCCAGCGCCAAGGGGAGCATTCCAAAGAGCCAGGGAGTGGTTAGGAGGCAAACAAAAGCTGAAGGTTGTCATTTTGGAGCTAGAAAGCACAGTCATGGTTAGGTGATCTCCCACTTAGCAACCTCTTTGCTTAGCCACAGAATTGCCAGTCTCAACTACTGCTAAACAAGGAGTACCTGTATATACTTCACATATTTTCATAACTATCTTTTATCATCTTGATGCCAAACCAAAAGAGTGGATATTATATTTTTAGAAGGGTACATTTCCTGTAATGGATTGACTCAGAGTAGCAATACTCACAATCAATCAACATTTTCTGAAAGCAAGTATCTGCAATTATTTCAAATATCCTTTTTTCAATTATTTGTATCTTATATTCTTCAATATTCAGAAGCCCTAATGGAACAGAACACGATCTTATACAATTTGGTTCATATTGATTTAAATGGGCTTAAGAACACCTAATTCCACAGAATATCTTTTTAAGTACGTCCAGAGTTATATATAGAAATAAAATCATCATCTTCTCTCCAACAGTTCCAATTACTGACGAGACTTCCATTTTCTACCGCATTTATAAAGATACAAATCTTTGGTTTCCATAAAAATAGTATCAGATCATTTCATGCTCATATCAGAAAAATAAATACCATACAAAAGAGGAAGTCAGTGTTTTTTATTGAGATGTTACATAGCAACTAAAGCCTTTTAAGGCAATGTGATGAATCTGCACTTAATACTTCCATCATAGTTCGTAAAGTCGGAAATGATTCTGATACTAATGGAAGACTCTTGTAGGAAGGTGAAATGCTGAAAATGCAAAATTGCCAAGATTAATAGAAGCTCAGTTCATATTCCTATTTGAAATAAAATTAATAGTTTACATTGTATTACATTTTAAAAATACTTGTTTAATATTTAGATATCAACCTAGACTTCAATGCCTCTTCTGTTTAAGGGACAATTTAAGTTTTAGTTATTAGAATTAATAAAGTAACAGTGAGTTCTAGCCAAAATGGTTCTTATCTCAAAAATTATAAATCTGATTGATTACATTTTTATTAATATTTTGATATATGTGTATGTGTGCATAGGTGTGGTGTATGTATGTGTGTATTTCACATATACAGTATAACAGAATTTTGCTGTATATCCCAATTCAACTTAAGTCAGTCCACAGTTTGATTTATATTCAGTACTGAACTACCTTAATTATATTAAGAACTACTGTTATGAAATGTGATTATTTTAACAATTATTATGTTTATCATGACATCCATATACATGCAGAAAGTTAAGCAGGACCCTTGTATGGTCTGAGGTAGGTGAAACAAAATGATGATTGATAATTCTAATCACTCATGTATACTATAAATCAATATTAATATTTTTACCTTTTCAAATTCAGCCAGTCTTTTGCTACTTTACTGAAGGCTTCTGAACTAGATGCAATCATGGCTTCAAAGTCTACCAACTGGAAAACATTAACAATGAGTTTAAAGATAGAAATGTTTTACCTGTTTATCTCACAGAGGTTGCTATTTTAGCAATTGCAATGCAACATTGGAAATCTAAAGCTGTACAACACAATTCAGAAGAAAATATATTTTAAATTTAAATTTAAAAGCCACGATTATAAATAGAATTGAAATGTATTTAAATGCATTTACATTTTTAAGTCGGTCTACTTATATAACTTCTGTTAAAAGGCCCATTGGAAAGATTATTTATCATATAACTATATCATATACACCATACTGTAGACAATAGCCCGTGTAACAAATATATATATATATATATATATATATATATATATATATATATATATATATATATATATATATATATATATATATACACACACACACACAACTGCATTACCTTTTGATAGCTTTCAATGCTCTTTTAAAGGAAAAATTAAGGAGGTAGAGTAAGTTCACACATTCTGTTATGTCTACCAAAAGCTGAGAGATATAGAAGTACTCCATATATACAGAGTGTGATAGTGAAACGTTGCAAATATAAATGGATCAGGATCAAGCCCCAAGGAGAAACATGCTTCCTTGGAAGTAAATTCCATTTACTACCCCACAGGTATTAAACTATGGTTTCATTTAATGATTTTGTTACACCTCCTTCCATTTTTCTTAGGACTATTCCTAATACAGCACCAAAGAGGCAACCTTTGCAATATTAAAGGTATCCTCAGATAGGATTCAGGATCTGTTAAGGAGCATTTTGGACACAGGAGTAAGATACAGAAACAATACATATGTGGCCAAGAGTCATTCTTGTCTAAATTTAACATAACTTATTCAGAGCGTACCTTTCCTTTAGGAATTTTTCCTGACACTTCCTGTCCACTTGCCATCAGTGCTCCCATGATGATTGAATAACCCACTATACTAAAACAACAACAGCAACAACAATGTTCTTAGTTATAGCATGGAAACCCAGCAAGCTGGCAATGCAGAAAAAACAGCAGGTTTCCCAGCATCACATATTTATTCTACAGCAGGGGTTCTCAACCTTGGCAACTTTAAGACTTGTGGACTTCAATTCCCAGAATTCCTCAGCCAGCTTTGCTGGCTGAGGAATTCTGGGAGTTGAAGTCCACAAGTCTTAAAGTTGCCAAGGTTGAGAACCCGTTCTACAGCTTCTTACAAATAAGAAAGGTAACAAGAAACAATTGACTAAAAACAACCTGCTTTCTCTCTGTAATACTCAACAGATAGAACAAAAGGAGACACAGCCATTTCTTCTACAATTAATTTTCTAGCTGACAGACTCTCACTTACAAATTCCATTAATTGTAAATTGTCAGAATTTGAGAGAATAGCCATCATTAATTCAAGTCTTAATGAGCAAGCAGTGCACAAGTACAAGGAAATTAATTATTTAAGGAGTTGGGGGGGGGTTTCTGTTACATTACTGTTTTCTCTGAATTATCACGTTTGCCACTCACCAGGTTCTTGAAGTTATGTACAAGTAAACATATATATCCAATTACAAGACTACAGCCTACATCAATATAATCTTTCAAAATATTAGAAATCTATTTCTTTTATATTATTTATTTTTATAACCTAGGGTACAGAATGAGAATTGAAATGAAATAAGTAAAATACCAACATTTGCACATATTTAAAACTTGAACGGGCAAACAGAATAATATAACACCATAATTACTTATGTTATTAATAAGATAAACTTGCTTTAAATATTGTACAAGAAGACAGTTACTAACCTGGAACCTCTGGAAAGAGGCATTAAGTTACAGAAGTAGTATAAAACAGACAAGATTAGATTGCATATGACATCTGTCTCCTAAATAAAACAAAATAAAATTTAATTATTTTATTA